TACATCCAATCTAAACCTCCCCTGGCGCAACTTGAGGCCATTTCCTCTCGTCCTTTCGCCAGTTACTTGGGAGAAGAGACCGACACCCACCTCGCTACAACCTCCTTTCAGGTAGTTGTAGAGAGCAATGAGGTCTCCCCTCAGCCTCCTTTTCTCCAGGCTAAACAACCCCAGCTCCCTCAGCCGCTCCTCATAAGGCTTGTTCTCCAGACCCCTCACCAGCCTCGTTGCCCTTCTCTGGACACGTTCCAACATCTCAACATCCTTCTTGTAGTGAGGGGCCCAAAACTGAACACAGTATTGGAGGTGCGGCCTCACCAGTGCTGAGTACAGGGGCACTATCACTTCCCTGCTCCTGCTGGCCACACTATTTCTGATACAGGCCAGGATGCCATTGGCCTTCTTGGCCGCCTGGGCACACTGCCGGCTCATGTTCAGCCGGCTGTCGACCAACACCCCCAGGTCCTTTTCCGCCAGGCAGCTTTCCAGCCACTCTTCCCCAAGCCTGTAGCGCTGCATGGGGTTGTTGTGGCCGAAGTGCAGGACCCGGCACTTGGCCTTGTTGAATCTCATCCAGTTGGCCTCGGCCCATCGATCCAGCCTGTCCAGGTCCCTCTGCAGAGCCTTCCTACCCTCGAGCAGATCAACACTGCCGCCCAATTTGGTGTCGTCTGCAAACTTACTGAGGGTGCACTCGATCCCCTCATCCAGATCATTGATAAAGATATTAAATAATTCAAGAAAGCATTTCTTTTTTCCTAAATTCCTTCTTTAAGTTCTTAGAGATTTCAGAGTGCCATCAAATATCTCACAGAGAGCTGGGGAGCTTCCATGTCTAGCTCTGGTGAGAACTGGATCTGAAACCTGCCATTAGTTCAGACCTGGTTATCGCCTGTCTTACACCTCAGGTCAGTGCAGTTTAGAGCAAATGAACACATGGGAAATATCCTGGGCTGGTGTGACTGAAACAAAAGGTCTATGATTAAAAGATAATTTAGAAAGTTCTTCAGGTTTTAGAAGTTAGACGTGGTCCTTGAGGGAGACTGAGAGGACCGAGGGCAGTAAAAATATGAAATGACATATACCTTCAGTACGTAGACATTATTTTTCAGCATCCAGAAGGTTTGTTACCTTTGTGCCCTTTCAAGTGCAGTGCTCTTCAGGGTCCACAATCTGAATGAACAGGGTCCCAGAGGTTATACGAACTTCCTCCTGTCATGCAATCCTTACCAAAAGGACAGCTGTTTGCTACAGCAGCGGATGCTGGCATTTTTTGTGCGCAACCCAACAGGCAAAGGGCTGCTCACAGCAGCTATACCATAGCTATATCATTCATGTCTGCAAGACTTTAAGATGACCTCAAGTGCTGCCACCCTAAAGACAGTATGTCAGATATTTCCCGAATGCATTCTCTGTGCCACAGGTATACTTCAACAGTAACAAAGTGCCACTACAGCTGCCAATGAAAAAGACGACTTTAATTGCATCCCTTCTTTTCATCCCCTAATAAAGGCAGGGGGGAAAATGCAGGGATCTTGATCTCTGGACCCAACTGGCTAAGAAAAGCAAGGTGTTAATTATGTGTATACACTCAGTGTGTATATGTGTGTATGCGTGAGTGTAGTTAGCATGCCTGCTCGCAGCAGTCAATACCTGTATCAGGTACATTCCATGGGACTCTTCACAGTCCTGGTACCTTGACTGCTCAGCCTGGTGACCTGGCTCTGATCCCCTTGCACCCACAGTTCCCTGCATTTCTAACAAGGAGGAGTGACAGTGCGTATCCCTGGGCGTCAGGATGCAGCCAGAGTAGGTACGTGGAGCATAGAGCTGAGAAGTTATCCCAGATCTGATCGATGAGAGACAGCCTACACAAATAGTCCACAAAGCTAAACCTTACAGTAAAATTTATGATCTCAACTTTCCATCAATACATTTCACTGAGGGTTATGGTTACACTCTTCTTATTCCAATTCTACAGACAAGAAAGACAACGTGAGCACTGGGAGGACAGCAACACTCCTGCTATCCTGCAGTAGGTTAGCAGCAGAGCTGGAAAGAGAACTTGTATCGGTTTAGTTCTAATCCAGTGCCCTAGTCCACTGTCAGCCTTATCATTACATAGATTAAGAGCGCTACTACAGGACTCTGAGGTATCTTGAAGTATGTTTTATATTAATTACACGAAGAGACTGGAGAGCTGTTAAATACGGAAGTACAACAGATTAAATTCAAATATATCATATTGGAAACACACGTACAATTTTGAAAATGCTCAAATCGATATGGAGACTGAATCTCTCTGATTTTCAGTCACTTAGACGCCCTGAAAAAGGGGGGAAAAAGCCATCTATTTCTATGTAGCTAAAATAGCAGGCCAAAGGCCTTCCTAGGTTCTCACTCTGATGAGAGCAGACAGAGCAGCTCTTCCG